GCAGCATCATCCGCGTACGTGGCGACCAAGAGGCTCTGATTCGGGCTGCCAGGCATGTCGGCTGTGTACACCGTGTATAACAGTGGTCCCAGTGCGCTGCGGCTCTGATGTTCTTTATAGACGAGATAGCATCACCACACTTTGTGGAAAACTGTCTGCAAGAAATGTAGCATTTAAGAAATTCGAAGTAGGATGCTGGTAAGCTCGCCTTAATTTTATGCAGTAGACCGGGGTGCTAAACCCTATCAAAGGCTTACCTCACGTCGAGCATGACCGCATAGCGATACTTCTTTTCTTCGAATGATTGCATTATTCGCTCTACTATCCTATGGCACTGTTCCGGTGTTCCGTGGAGGCGCCTGAGGCTCAACTGATGGTCTGGGATAAAACAAGCCTCGTTCAATACTGGCAGCACTCTGCGTAAAAAAACTCTTTCGAGCAATTTAGAGAGTAGCCAGTATGCTTATGGGACGATAGGAGGAGAGATAGGCCTCAGGTTTACCAGGCTTTGGTATAAAAATTACCTCAGCTCGTTACCACCGGGAAAGGAAAAATGCCAATCTCAAAACATCGCTTAAAAACGTTGGTCAGCAACTGAATTAAATTTTTATGCAGCATTTTTATCGCCTTTGCGTCGATGCCATCGTGACCAGGCGCCTTTTTTAGGTTGAGTAGAGCAACCTCATTTTAATCTCGTCCAGGGATGCTGATGCGATCCGTGTGTCGCCCACACTTGGTATCTTCAAGAAACGGCTAGTGTCCGATTTGTCCGCCAATGAGTAGCGATCAATCGGCATGAATGAGTCATGAAGGTGCTCTGCAAATGCATCTACTCTATCTTGGTCTGATTGGCACCAGTCCCCGTTTGCTTTTCGGACAACAGCTGTCCTTCCCCCGGTCGTTTAATATGGCGTGTGACCTGCCATAAGCTATTTAATGGTTCGAGATCCTTGAGGAACCTATCAAGGGCGCTCTTCCTCAAGTTTTACAGTAGCTCCCTTAAGCGTTTTGTGGATCTGTTGAAGAGGTTTTTATCCCATGAGCTGCGGATAGGAACCCAACTACGCCTGAGTCGCCCCTTTTCCGCAACGAGAGTGGCTACCTCAGAAGTCCATAGATAAATGTCTCTTGCTGGCGTTCCAGGGTTGAAGCTATTTCTCGTGGTAACTAGCTCGTTGTCCTTAACAGTATACCTGGATGGTAGATATGCAGCCGCAATTGTTAGGTCGCCGAGCGGGCTGGGTAGCATGACCTGGGCACACTGCACCCAATCTTGTTTGTATACTGGCAGTTCAATATATTTAATCCCTTTTTTGATAAGCATTGCAGCTCCACCTCGGGCTCTACCGTTTGGGGGGTTGGTGTAAATAATATCAAAGCCATTGATGGAGAAGTACGATCTCTGGGGGAAGTGAGATTCTGATATTAGGAGTATATCTCTGTTGGTGGTCTTCACAAAGTGTTTGCCCGCTGGCCTGCTTTTGCACAGACAGTTCGCACTCTACATGGTGAGGTTCAGCCTTACTTGCATAGCTTACCAACAGCAGTGGCTAGCATTTTCGTCATCAGGCTAAATATTTTCTCCATCATTTGTTCCATCGTCAACTCCAATCGGGAGCTCCCACTTATAAACGGCGCAGCCTTAATATGAAGCAGCATAGTCGCCTCCACTGGGTACGCAGTACGCCGGTAACTTTTTACTTTTAGTGAAGTCTGCTAAACTGTGTTTATCGCCTCACTTGACGCATCTATGTTCAAGACGGCAAAAAAACCCTTGACAAAAAATTAAATAAAAAATTCCACGATAGAACAGAATAGTGATTTTTATTTTCTGCTCCATACGTTTAAAAATAGTTACATTTTAAATTTTCTTTCCTTAAGCTTTAATAACTTCGAGATCCTTGTGTTAATACATACTGACGGACCGACAATACATACATATTTCATTCCCATACCTAAATTTTTGTATATTAAGAAGTTTTATATGGAAGTACAAGAAAGTTTTTCGATATTCAGTGTACCAATAATATCTTCGAACAGCGATTAAAATATTCTTTGGTAACGAAAATAACTTTGTTGCAGAAAATTAACAAAGAAAGTTTAACTGCAGTTTTCTTTATCTATTTATTTACTTTATTTCACAACAAAAAAAATATTCAATATTTTGAATAATATAAAAGTCATGAAGAAACAAGTAAGCGGTTCTAGTCGGGAGCTCCCGGCTAGGGGATACCCTGAACCCTCTTCTTTCAATATCAAATGAATATATATATTCTATTTTAGAAGCTATATGTCAAGTTTGGTGACTCTAGCTCTTATTATTTACCAAAATTGCCCAAAAAACAGGATATCGATATCGATTTTTATTGATTGCTTGGAAACGGAGCAAGCTATCGATTATCGGAAACAAACTCGATCTGCGCGGCCACTTTGAGCACCTATATATCTAGCTCTTATAGGTTCTGAGATCCTTGCGTTCAAACATACAGACGGACGGACGGAAAGACAGGCGGACATGGCTAGATCGACTCGGCTATTGATGCTAATCAAGAATATATATACTTTATGGGGTCGGAGATGCTTCCTTCTGCCTGTTATATACATTTGGATTTTGCACAAATACAATATACCCCTATACCCATTTATAGTGGGTTCAGGGTATAAAAATGGCACGTTTTTGCCTCCAATAAAAGGTTCGTACACTTAAACTAATTACCTTAGAATTATTCTTAATAGGTAAATAACTTAAAACTAATATTTGGTAGGGTATCCTCTATTTTAATGACTGTCTTAAGCCGATTTTACATGGACAAAACCAGTTTTTCGGCACCTACTACGGCTTTTCTAACTTTCTCGGGGTGCACTTGCTTCTGACTGGATCGAAGAAGCTCAAAACTTATATTATGTGCAGTTATAAATGCATCCGTGGCAACCATTCGCTTATTAGCTAACCAATTGCTGTTGCCAAACTTTGTGGGCGGCCAGATTTAGACTTAATTTTCACACGCCCTTCATATTTGAACCGACCAATTACAAATTGTACCGTGGAACGACCTCGACATATCATTTTCGCAATTTCTCCATAAGATTTTTGTTGCTTCACGTGCATATTTAAAATTATCCGACGTTCCGCAATGCTTAAATATTTTTCAGCCATACCCACATATTAAACAATTTAATAAAAAATTCTTTGAAACCTGCTTCCAAGATGTGCCAAAAATGCCTATGTACACATTCAAAAACCACAATAACCATTTTTGCATTTTGTATGCAGCTTAAGTGCTAGAATAGTATGGTGTACAAAGATAATTTTGGAACCAAAAAACATGTCTTTTTTGTTTTTTTCCTTAAAACTCTAATATTATTAATGAGAAAGGTAGGCTATCTTCGGTACGCCGAAGATCTAAAACCCTTATAGTGCTTTGCCCGTATCTAAGAAGCACAGGGAAAATAGTTAATGCCGAGTTAGGTCAAGATATCTTAATAAGCAAACAAGGTTTTTAATCAAAAACCTAGTTTTCGACCCTATGGCAGATATATGATATATTTGTACAAATTTTTTTTTCATACTACAACTTAATTTTCGGCCGATTGTTCCTATGGCAGCTATTTGATATAGTGGTCCGATCTCAATAGGATTTTGCATATATATGAGGAGCATACTAATAATAAAAAATGCCGAGTTTGGTCAAGATATCTTGATAAACAAAATTTGTTTCCATACAACAACTAAATTTTCCACCGATCGTTCCTATGGCAGCAATATGATATAGTGGTCCGATCCAGTTGGTTGTGACATATGTGCTGCGTGCAACAGAAAGAGAGACTTCTGCAGAGTTTCATAAAAAAGGCTTTAAGACTGAGGGACTAGTTCGCATAGAAATATACAGGCGGACAGACCTACATGGCTATATCGACACTGCTGTTGATACTGATCAAGAGTATATATACTTTATGGGGTCGGAGATTTCTCCTTCTATGCGTTACACATTTCACAACAAAATTATAAATTATAACCCTTTGCAAGGGTTTATAATTATTGAATATATTTTTGTTGTGAAATAAAGTTAATTAATAGATAAAGAAAACTGCATCTAAACTTTTTTTGTTGCACTTCTGCAACTAAGTTATTTTCGTTACCAAAGAATATTTTAATCGCTGTAGGAAGACATCATTGGTACACAGGATGTATATTTTTTTTGGGTAAATTTTTTAAAATGTAAAAAATGTAATTGTAATAAAAATGTGCTTCATGTTATGTAGTGCTGTAAATCTAGTTATTCAAGGCAAAATAGTTATTTTATATTCTCTACTTTATACCCTATAAGAATGTGGCAGTTTGTTGTGTTAGTAGGGGACTCACCTCCTTGATCATCAAGGGCTACAAGTGTACGTATTCCTGCCTCCTTGCTCTGGTGTGCAGCAAAATGCAATGTAAATAGTTTGTAAAAGTGTATAGATAAGTGTTAATAATGTATAAGTATATATATATTTATTAATTTGTAAGTATGTTGGAATTAGTATTTATATCAGATAATAACAGTATAAATAACTTAAATGAATTGAGAAATTATAAAAACAATGTTGCATAACTAGATCCATATTGTTTTTACGCGCGCATCGAGTAATAAATACACAGGGAGGCCTTTTGGATCAAAAGCTCTTTTTCAAAATAGCTGATGCAAGATACCGAGATTGCAAACACAAATCGCAAATACAAAACCCGGCTGTCTACAGCTGTTTCTGCCGTTGCCCAAAATTCAATGACAACTTCAGAACATTTTCCATTAAAAACAGCAACAACGAATTATCAAAATAATCGATTTTGAAAAAGCACACAAAAATTTCATTCATTGCTCTCCCTTTTTCGTTTGGGGCTAAAGTCTTCTATCTAAGCTTCTGCACTCTCCTAACTTATTGTTGTAGTTACTAAGCACTGCTATGCCTATAATTCGCAAAGTCACAAAGTCATGTCTTGCTCTTCTCCACTTGCTACAATACTATCGCAATTGCGATGCTGTTGATAGAATTCAAATCATATTGTACTATAAAATATTCGTATATTCTCAAAAAGTCATAGCATTTAAATAGTGGCTTAAATTTGTGGGTAATGCAAGTTGGTTTTTAACTTGATTTATAGCTTTGCTGTGGTAACGGGGAGGTGGCAATAGCTATAAAATGAACGATATTATATATATATATATAATTTAGAAGCAAAATATCAATTTAGTGACACAAACTATTATTATTTACCCAATTTGCTAAAATAACAGGATTTCGATATCGAACTTATCGATTGCTTGAAAACGGAGTCAGTAATCGAATATCGGAAACAAACTTGATCTAGGAGGACCTTCGTTCCAAATTTCAAGTCTCTAGCTCTTATAGGTTCTGAAATTCTTGCGGTCATTCATACGGACGGACGAACAGACAAACAGACGGACATGGCTAGATAGATTCAGCTATTGAAGTTGATCGGAGCTGCTTCTCACTGCTTGTAACATATATTAGCACAAATACATTATACCCTCTTTAGTAAAGTTGTGTCGTTTAGTTCAGACCAATTTTTGATTGAACGGGTCATTAAAATAAATAAGAGGTTCTAGTCGGGAGCTCCCAACTAGGGGATACCCTGAACCCTCTTCTTTCAACATCAAATGCATATATATATTGTATTTTAGAAGCCATACGTCAAGTTTGGTGACTCTAGCTCTTATTATTTACCAAAATTTCCCAAAAAACAGGATATCGATATCGATTTTTATCGATTGCTTGGAAACGGAGTAAGTTATCGATTATCGGAAACAAAAATTTCAAGTCTCTAGCTCTTATAGGTTCCGAGATCCTTGCGTTCATACATACGGACAGACAGACAGACGGACATGGCTAGATCGACTCGGCTATTTGTGCTGATCAAGAATATATATACTTTATGGGGTGGGAGATGCTTCCTTCTGCCTGTTACATACATACAAATACAATATACCCTTATACCCATTTATAATGGGTTCAGGGTATAAAAACATAGTTCCCTCGGTAGGGTTCGAACTCGCAACAGACCGCGCTAATTGCCGCCGCTGCACACGCATTGCAATAGGGACAACAACACGAAGGCGCCTGTCATAGGGCGATGGAATACCATCGAAGACATGCAGAGCGAGGGCAGCCTGGCTACGCTTGGTCTTGTGCGGGATCATGCCACGCACAGCCTTGTAAAAGATCATGGACGGGGCACACAAGTGGAAGGGGACACGAGCCGGGTTCACGTTGCAGCGTTTGCGCAAATAGGCCAAAAACTTAATTTTGTTTCTATAGAAGTGAAAAGAGAAAGGTTCAGTTCCTCGCAGCGGACTACTGCCACCTTGCCGCCCTGCAACAGGTACTTGGCAACCACGGAGGCCAGGCGGCCAAACAAATGGTAAATTAAAGCAACTCGATCAGCTGCTTATTTAAAGAAGTGGTACTTTGCCACTCACATGTTACCGGTGACAACCGGTGGGACACCAATATTTGAAATTTGAAATGTGACATTTCTTAAGCCAGTGGACAGAGGCTATTACACAAAAATTTCACAATTGTGTGTTTTCTTATGGGAAAACGTACAGAACGTATTTTACAAACTTTGCAAAAATATGACATTTTCAAAAATGTTTAAGAAATGTGGTCAGTGAACAAAGGCTATTACGAATAAACTCACAGAACAAGAATATACATAAACATACTTTATGAGGCCGGATATGTGGACTTTTCTCTGTCATTTACAATTCCACAAAACCATTTTACTCTATTTTGCCAGATTAATCTCTCTTCTTCCAACGCCAAAATGCAGTTCGCGCAACGCGCTCATTTGAAGTAATAAAGATTAATAAAAAAACGAGAAAGAAAAGCTATCTTCGGCACGCCGAAGATCTAATACCCTTGCAGACCCAACCTTTTCATAATGCTTATAGTGCTTTGCCCGTATCTAAGAAGCACAAGGAAAATAGTTAATGCCGAGTTTGGGCAAGATATCTTGATAAACAAAATTTTTTTCACACAACAACTTAATTTTCGACCGATCGTTCCTATGGCAGCTATATGATATAGTGGTCCGATCTTAATAGGATTTTGCATATGTGTGAGGAGTATAGTAAACCTAATAAATGCCGAGTTTGGTCAAGATATCTTGAAAAACAAAATGTTTTTTCATACAACAACTGAATTTTCGACCGATCGTCCCTTTGGCAGCTATATGATATAGTGGTCCGATCTTAATAGGATTTTGCTTAAATGTGAGGAGTAAAGTAAGACTAATAAATGCAGAGTTTGGTCAAGATATCTTGAAAAATAAAATGTTTTTTCATACAAAAACTTAATTTTCGACCGATCGTTCCTATGGCAGCTATATGATATAGTGGTCCGATCTTAATAGGATTTTGCATATATATGAGGAGTAAAGTAAAACTAATAAATGCCGAGTTTGGTCAAGATATCTTGAAAAACAAAATGTTTTTTCATACAAAAACTTAATTTTCGACCAATTGTTCCTAGGGCAGCTATATGATATAGTGTTCCGATCTTAATAGGATTTCGCATATATATGAGGAGTAAAGTAGAACTAATAAATGCCGAGTTTGGTCAAGATATCTTGATAAACAAAATGTTTTTTCATACAAAATCTGAATTTTCGACCGATCGTTCCTATGGCAGCTATATGATGGTGGTCCGATCCAGCTGGTTTTCACATATGTGCAGCGTGCAACAGAAAGAGGGACTTCTGCAAAAAATCATTTAGATAGCTTTAAAACTGAGAGACTAGTTCGCATAGAAACAGACAGATGGTCAGACATGGCTCTATCGACTCGGCTGTTGATGCTGATCAAGAATATATAAGTTACCACATAACACTTAATATAGGATATTTGATAAGTTTATAAGCAACCCTCGCTATCGCGTGCTTCATAAGTTAAGGAACAGCCCTCGCAATTGCGACACTGCATACTTTGCAGCAAAATGCAATGTAAATAGTTTGTAAAAGTGTATAGATAAGTGTTAATAATGTATAAGTATATATATATTTATTAATTTGTAAGTATGTTGGAATTAGTATTTATATCAGATAATAACAGTATAAATAACTTAAATGAATTGAGAAATTATAAAAACAATGTTGCATAACTAGATCCATATTGTTTTTACGCGCGCATCGAGTAATAAATACACAGGGAGGCCTTTTGGATCAAAAGCTCTTTTTCAAAATAGCTGATGCAAGATACCGAGATTGCAAACACAAATCGCAAATACAAAACCCGGCTGTCTACAGCTGTTTCTGCCGTTGCCCAAAATTCAATGACAACTTCAGAACATTTTCCATTAAAAACAGCAACAACGAATTATCAAAATAATCGATTTTGAAAAAGCACACAAAAATTTCATTCATTGCTCTCCCTTTTTCGTTTGGGGCTAAAGTCTTCTATCTAAGCTTCTGCACTCTCCTAACTTATTGTTGTAGTTACTAAGCACTGCTATGCCTATAATTCGCAAAGTCACAAAGTCATGTCTTGCTCTTCTCCACTTGCTACAATACTATCGCAATTGCGATGCTGTTGATAGAATTCAAATCATATTGTACTATAAAATATTCGTATATTCTCAAAAAGTCATAGCATTTAAATAGTGGCTTAAATTTGTGGGTAATACAAGTTGGTTTTTAACTTGATTTATAGCTTTGCTGTGGTAACGGGGAGGTGGCAATAGCTATAAAATGAACGATATTATATATATATATATACTTTAGAAGCAACATATCAATTTAGTGACACAAACTATTATTATTTACCCAATTTGCTAAAATAACAGGATTTCGATATCGAACTTATCGATTGCTTGAAAACGGAGTCAGTAATCGAATATCGGAAACAAACTTGATCTAGGAGGACCTTCGTTCCAAATTTCAAGTCTCTAGCTCTTATAGGTTCTGAAATTCTTGCGGTCATTCATACGGACGGACGAACAGACAAACAGACGGACATGGCTAGATAGATTCAGCTATTGAAGTTGATCGGAGCTGCTTCTCACTGCTTGTAACATATATTAGCACAAATACATTATACCCTCTTTAGTAAAGTTGTGTCGTTTAGTTCAGACCAATTTTTGATTGAACGGGTCATTAAAATAAATAAGAGGTTCTAGTCGGGAGCTCCCGACTAGGGGATACCCTGAACCCTCTTCTTTCAACATCAAATTCATATATATATTGTATTTTAGAAGCCATACGTCAAGTTTGGTGACTCTAGCTCTTATTATTTACCAAAATTTCCCAAAAAACAGGATATCGATATCGATTTTTATCGATTGCTTGGAAACGGAGTAAGTTATCGATTATCGGAAACAAAAATTTCAAGTCTCTAGCTCTTATAGGTTCCGAGATCCTTGCGTTCATACATACGGACAGACAGACAGACGGACATGGCTAGATCGACTCGGCTATTTGTGCTGATCAAGAATATATATACTTTATGGGGTGGGAGATGCTTCCTTCTGCCTGTTACATACATACAAATACAATATACCCTTATACCCATTTATAATGGGTTCAGGGTATAAAAACATAGTTCCCTCGGTAGGGTTCGAACTCGCAACAGACCGCGCTAATTGCCGCCGCTGCACACGCATTGCAATAGGGACAACAACACGAAGGCGCCTGTCATAGGGCGATGGAATACCATCGAAGACATGCAGAGCGAGGGCAGCCTGGCTACGCTTGGTCTTGTGCGGGATCATGCCACGCACAGCCTTGTAAAAGATCATGGACGGGGCACACAAGTGGAAGGGGACACGAGCCGGGTTCACGTTGCAGCGTTTGCGCAAATAGGCCAAAAACTTAATTTTGTTTCTATAGAAGTGAAAAGAGAAAGGTTCAGTTCCTCGCAGCGGACTACTGCCACCTTGCCGCCCTGCAACAGGTACTTGGCAACCACGGAGGCCAGGCGGCCAAACAAATGGTAAATTAAAGCAACTCGATCAGCTGCTTATTTAAAGAAGTGGTACTTTGCCACTCACATGTTACCGGTGACAACCGGTGGGACACCAATATTTGAAATTTGAAATGTGACATTTCTTAAGCCAGTGGACAGAGGCTATTACACAAAAATTTCACAATTGTGTGTTTTCTTATGGGAAAACGTACAGAACGTATTTTACAAACTTTGCAAAAATATGACATTTTCAAAAATGTTTAAGAAATGTGGTCAGTGAACAAAGGCTATTACGAATAAACTCACAGAACAAGAATATACATAAACATACTTTATGAGGCCGGATATGTGGACTTTTCTCTGTCATTTACAATTCCACAAAACCATTTTACTCTATTTTGCCAGATTAATCTCTCTTCTTCCAACGCCAAAATGCAGTTCGCGCAACGCGCTCATTTGAAGTAATAAAGATTAATAAAAAAACGAGAAAGAAAAGCTATCTTCGGCACGCCGAAGATCTAATACCCTTGCAGACCCAACCTTTTCATAATGCTTATAGTGCTTTGCCCGTATCTAAGAAGCACAAGGAAAATAGTTAATGCCGAGTTTGGGCAAGATATCTTGATAAACAAAATTTTTTTCACACAACAACTTAATTTTCGACCGATCGTTCCTATGGCAGCTATATGATATAGTGGTCCGATCTTAATAGGATTTTGCATATGTGTGAGGAGTATAGTAAACCTAATAAATGCCGAGTTTGGTCAAGATATCTTGAAAAACAAAATGTTTTTTCATACAACAACTGAATTTTCGACCGATCGTCCCTTTGGCAGCTATATGATATAGTGGTCCGATCTTAATAGGATTTTGCTTAAATGTGAGGAGTAAAGTAAGACTAATAAATGCAGAGTTTGGTCAAGATATCTTGAAAAATAAAATGTTTTTTCATACAAAAACTTAATTTTCGACCGATTTTGCATATATATGAGGAGTATAGTAAAACTAATAAATGCCGAGTTTGGTCAAGATATCTTGAAAAACAAAATGTTTTTTCATACAAAAACTTAATTTTCGACCAATTGTTCCTAGGGCAGCTATATGATATAGTGTTCCGATCTTAATAGGATTTCGCATATATATGAGGAGTAAAGTAGAACTAATAAATGCCGAGTTTGGTCAAGATTTGATAAACAAAATGTTTTTTCATACAAAATCTTAATTTTCGACCGATCGTTCCTATGGCAGCTATATGATGGTGGTCCGATCCAGCTGGTTTTCACATATGTGCAGCGTGCAACAGAAAGAGGGACTTCTGCAAAAAATCATTTAGATAGCTTTAAAACTGAGAGACTAGTTCGCATAGAAACAGACAGATGGTCAGACATGGCTCTATCGACTCGGCTGTTGATGCTGATCAAGAATATATAAGTTACCACATAACACTTAATATAGGATATTTGATAAGTTTATAAGCAACCCTCGCTATCGCGTGCTTCATAAGTTAAGGAACAGCCCTCGCAATTGCGACACTGCATACTTTGTATCAGCGCGCTATAGCTGCAATGGTCAGTGGCGGTAACCGGACACTTCTGTTTTGCTGCAAGAGTTTCCGTTATTGCCTAAGATTTTGCTGAGTCGGCTTGCCGACCATGACATTGTGGCGTGATGCGAGCTTTGGCTTAGCTTAAGTGAAATATTCTGTGTATTAAGAAATTAGTTTTTAATGCGGCTTTCCCCGAGGCACATCGGCCCAGGGACTTCGCACTTAAATTAACCCACTCACTACGGCGTATCGGCCTAGTGTTTTAGAAATCATTATCCAAATAAAGTTCAATATAGATAATCCGCGGGGACTATTATTTAAATTTTAATTGGCGCCCAACTAGTGGTAGTTACGATTACCCACGCGATTGCAAAGAAAACAAGTAAGAGGTTTTAGTCGGGAGCTCCCGACTAGGGGATACCCTGAAACCTCTTATTCCAACACCAAATAAATTAATAAAAAAAAGTTCCCTTGGCACTGCTCGAATTTGCAACTGACCGCATTACTTACTGTCGACTCTACTCAACAGCCACACCACCAAAAAAAAAATAATAATAATACTTTCCCCGATAGGGCTCGAACTCGCGACAGACCGCACCACTTGCTATTGCAACAATTAAGTACTTATGATAAAAAAAGGAACTAAAATAACATTACAAAAAAAAGATGCAATTACCATGCTATTAGAATGCGAAGCAGACGCGCATTAATGTGTGTGTGTACATGTATAAAGAAATTCTTAAAGCTGCTGCCCCATTCAATTGAGCAGTTGCATATAACTTTGGTTTTTCTTAACCGATCTTTATGAAATTTTCTACAGTATATCTTATTGTACCATAGAATATTTGTGTATTCTGAAAAAGTCAATTGCATTTAAATTGTGGTTTAAATTGGTTGGGTTATTAACTTGATTTATAGCTCTGGGGTGGTAGCGGGGATGTGGCGATAGGTATGAAATGAAAGATACTTGAAATATCTATAATATTCTAGAAGCAACATATCATGTTTGGTGGCTCTAGCTCTTATTATTTACCCAATTTGCTGAAAAAAACAGGATGTCGATATCGATTTTTAACGATTGCTTGGAAACGGAGTAAGTTATCGATTATCGGAAACAAAATCGATCTGCGCGGGAACTAGGAGCATCTACATCTAAAATTTCAAAAATAAAATGTCTCTAGCTCTTATAGGTTCTGAGATCCTTTGGCTCATACATACGGACGGACGGACGGACAGGCAGACACACGGACATGGCTAGATCGACTCGGCTATTGATGCTGATCAAGAATATATATACTTTATGGGGTCGGAGATGCTTCCTTCTGCCTGTTATATACATTTGGATTTTGCACAAATACAATATACCCTTATGCCCATTTTTAATGGGTTCAGGGTATAAAAATTCTTACAAAGTGAACATTAAGTCGCGGTCACACCAACTGTGCTGCGCAGTGAACATTACAAAAATAAAATATTAAAAATAATAAGCTAATCACATATTATAATAATAGTGACAGTGAGTTAACAAATGTAGTTGCGCTGTGAACACTACAACAAGAAGCAATAAGCTGCAGTAACAGTGAATTAGCGATCATAATCTCGTGATTCACAAAGGTGCGCTCAAGCGCAGTGCGATTTACATATATTTTTACACCGAAGCCGCTGGAGCTCTTCGGGCAGCGGAGACTGCGGCGAAGGGAGCGACTACGAATAACAAGTGCGTGACTGCGGCGTTGGACCCGCAAACGTGGCTGGCCGTGGAAGCAGACCTGGGGACCGAGGTCCTCATTAGAGGGAGGGTGGTCCACAAGGACAACCTAAGAACTTCATATTGCGATTTTTTGACAACGTCATAGCTGAATGCGTTGGAGAAACCCACACACTGCAGAGTTGCACCGCTTCACCTGGAGCCACATTTTGTCGTCTGGCATTAGAGAGTTCATGTGCCAAAGAGCTCCATGCAGGTGGCACGACACACTGCGATATCCAGCCGAGCAACCTGGAAATAATCACCCATGTAGATGACGGAATCATCATCCTCAACGACGGGTCCGCAAGGATTCAGGTGGACAACGGCACTGAGATCCAGGTACAAGGCACGCATCTCATCACATTCAGAGACCGAGTCGCAATTAACGGGACTCTGTTTTACAATCACAACAACGTACGCAATAGAGTCCCGGGTATTGCCACAGAGTATATATTCAACCAGTGCCACAGTCTTTACACAATTGGATATGACTGATGATGACGAGCTGTGCAGTGTACAGAATACCGAATAATCCGGGAATGTAAGTGACATTGAAGAATATTCCGAGCGTACGTAACTTCCTTGACGATATTCTCATAATTGTGAAAGGTGTTGATGAGGTTTTTACAACATTACAACAAGCAACTTTAGAGAAATTACGAAACCTGGTATTAAAGTTAAACAAAAAAATGTGTATTTGCCGCATTCCTGGTTGACTTTTAGAAACACAAGGTTGACGCCGAAGGCAGACATAAATCAACTAAGCATATTGAAGACATCTTTAAACCAACGAAACCAACAACAAACGAACACGTGCAACTGTTTCTTGGGAAAGCAGTTGACTACTCTAATTTCATACAATATCGGTTATCATTGGAGAGACCGCTGCGAGATATACTCAAAGAACGATAATTCTACATGCACACAAGCTTCTATGCATATACAAAATATGCAATAGCAAGTCCCAAAAACTGTAAATGCACACATGCCAACGGTACCCTTACCTACGAGAACAAGCTAAAAGGCAAAAATTTGTTTACGACGTGGCAAGCCCTTTCATTATTTCATATAACTCGTCCCTTCAAAGGGAAGACATTTGGGAAAAATTGAATTTGTGTGCATTTTTGCTTATGCGGACACATACACACATACACATTTAAACGATCCCTAAACATAAAGAGAGCATTGAGCGCACTGAGAGCAAGTGGGAGCGAGATTAAAAACAGCGATGCCATTCTACCACACAAGTCATAAGTATGTCTTAGTTTTAAAACTATTTTCGGGAAATATTCAAACTTCAACTATTTTACCAATTTCAATTATTCTATGCCGCTTAGGTTTTTCTCACATGCAAATGTCTAATAGCAAAGATAACGAAAAAAACACTTCTAAACTTTTTAATTTCATTTCAAAATAATTGCAGCTTAATCGAAAAAGAAGGGCCCTTGCAGATCCAACCTTTTCATAATGCTCATAGTGCTTTGCCCGTATCTAAGAAGCACAGAAAAAATAGTTAGGTGCGAGTTTGGTATAGATATCTTGAAAAACAAAAAGTTTTTCATGCAACTTAATTTTAGACCGATCGTTTCTATTGCAGCTATTTGATATAGTAGTCCGATGAATACGATTTTGCATAAATATAGTGAAATATATAAATGGCGAGTTTGGTCAAGACATCATAAAACACAACAAAGTTTTCCATGCAGTAACTTATTTTTTGACCTATCGTTCTTGGTAACAGTTTTGCAAGAGACTTTTTTTTTATAATACTGAAAGCATTCACTGTCATATTGAAGATATTCAATCAGACAGATTAATGCGGCTCGATGTAAATAAGATTTTGC